CTGGGCTTTTGGGTCGTTTTCGTGGCACTAAATTTCATGTGCCTGCTCTCTTGTACGTAGTGGTCTTTAAAAATTTATCCATAGCATGTGTCATTAGCATATTAGTGTTTGAATGCTACCTCCCAGCACGTTGGGGTTCAGGGCCAGTGGCTCTGGACAGTTCTAGAGGGCCTCGCCTAGCAGTTTCAGCTGCCCTTCGTGCCAACAGGTTGCACTCCTAGACTAACTTAGTAGCCTTTGTGTAAGGCTGCTGGACTTCACTCTCCACAGAACTTAGTCAGAATCTGAATCACACTCTTTCATTTGCCTTCTTGGGAGCAAAGGAAAGGACAGAGGAGAGGTAAGGTGCACCTAAGCTACCTGCAGTGCCCTCATCTGAAAAGAAGGGACTGTCCGGACAAGCCCCAGGGTGTCTTTGAGCTCTTAGCTTTATTATGGTTGAATGATTTCTAAAGTTCACACACCGAAATGCTGAGGACAGGCTGTACCTTGCTACAGAGCTACAGCCCTGGGTTGTGATGTTCACACCCTGGGGCCCCCATAAAAGCAGCATTCATTAATGAGGTCCCCATGTCAGTTCCATAGTGTGTAACTCAGTTATGTAAGCCCTGGATAAGGTGTTCAGGAGGCCACCAAGAGCCATGTGCCCTCGGGAAAGTCATTAAACATTGCTGGTTATTCATTTGTAGAAGAAGCTTAAAGGAAACCTGCCCACCAAATGCACAAGGTTATGCCATAACCCACCATCAACCACTGCATGTGGGAATGCCCTCTAAATGACCTTGCTGTGCTCAGGGGTGGAGGTGGGGTGTCGATCTGCTGTCCTCCTGGGGCCAAGAGGCCAGGTGCAATGCAGAAACAGTTTTAGAGCCTGTTCTTGTCCTAAGATCCAGACAGCTCTTGGAGACTAATCCAGATGCCATCTCCAGTCTATTACGGACTAGTTCATTCTTCTCTGAGCCAATCACTGTCGGCTTCCTTCACTCCAGCTTTTCTCTTCAGCTCTTCATCTGGACTCTATCATGGGAGAGATTTCTGGGCCTGGCCCAGGGATAGCTGGAACATCTGCTGTACTGCCTCTGACCTCTCCTATCCTACTGATGGCTCCGAAGGACTCCCAGTTCCCAGCTGGGTACTTTCGGTCCTTCGTTCCTAGAACTGTCTAGAGGCTCCTAGTGTTCTAGGGAGGGCAGCATCTTGGTGCAACTTTGCTGCCTGTCAGGATGAATGCTCTGGGGAAAAGGAAAGGACTGGGGAGGATCTTGGAAGGCAGGAGAGGCAGCTGTCAAAACCAACCCTCAGGAGGCTGCTAGATGGGGTGCTGAAGTAGACACCTCTTCCATATTAGACCTCAGAATTTCTCCTTCTTTGGAAATAAGAATTTTTGCAGACGTAATCAAATTGATAAGTCTTACATATTGGATTAGGCTGAGCTCTTAACCCAGTGACTGGTGTCCTTGTGAGAAGAGGGAAGTTTGAAAATAAATACAAGGAAAGAAGGTCACATAATGAGTAAGACAGTTAGGAGAATGATACGATGCAGCTACAAACCAAGGAATGCTGGAGATTTCTGGAAGCCACTACAGTCTATGAAGAGGCAAGGAATTCTCCCCTGAAGCTTACGGGGACAAGGTACTGCAACAGACATTCATCTTCAGACTGACCGTGAGAGAACAGGTTTCTGTTGTTACCTTACCCATTTGTAGTATTTCTGTGGCAGGACACTAAAACAGTGGCCATTGGACCGATTTAAACTAGCCAAAGTGATTCAAAGGCAATTTTTCTAAGTCATTTATTGAACAGCTTCTCCTTGTCTCCAAGGAAGTGCCTTGGAGACAGCTAGGGAGCTTCTGATTCTTGCTGCTCTGGGCACAGAAGAGGATTATGTTTCTCTGGCTCTTGGAAGTGGGTGCGACATGTGGAAAGATTCTTCTAGGATCTTCCAGGATAGTCTAGATTATGGGTGTTATCTCTGGTATCCTTTGCCAGTCAGTAGGGTACTGGATTCACATTTGTGCTTTGATACAGAAGCCTGCAGAGCTTCACATGGGTGTCATTTGGAGCAGTGTGGCCTGGGAGAGAGGAGGAGGTTGTTTGTCAGAGTGAAGTCTGTTTGTCACAGGGTTCTAGGCAGACATTTGATTCTATCCTCATCACAGTGTAGAGTTTGGAGGTCTTGAGTCCTTATTCACCTTTGTCCTAAAAACAGTCTCCCCCCCCTCCAAAAAACCTCTCTACCACTCAGGTTTATCTTTTATGAATAGAAAAGAAGTTACTAAGCAGTTACCTCCCCTACCTCTAGAGTTCCTAAACTCTTTATTCCCTTTTACTCCACTTGCAAAATGCTTTGCTTTGTTTGTTCAGATAGGGTTGCAGGTACTCCAGGATGACCTTGAACTTATGACCTTCTGCCTTCACCTCCCAAATGATAGGGATTACAGGTGTGTGTCACCATGTTTGGCCAGTTGTGTCTTTTCTAAGCCCTCTTCTTGCTATTAAATGGCTATGAAACACAGCAATGGCAGCCAATAGACAATGTCCTTTTGTGCTTTGGTGTCGCCTGGAGCCATGCGTCCATAAACCCATGGCAGTCTTACCTGACTCCTATCACTTCTCTAAGATTTTAGAATATTTACTTTATGTGTTGTAGTAGTTTGCCTACACCTATGTATCCTCCACAAGTGTGCCTAGTGTCTATGGAGGTCAGAAATGGGCACTGGATCCCCTGGATGGAACTAGAATTACAGATGGGGGTGAGCCAGCACGTGAGTGCTGGGTACCAAACCTGGGTCCTCTGCAAATGCAACAAGTGCTCTGAATTGCTGAGCCACCTCTCTGTCCTCATCACCCATCACTTCTTAGAATGAACCTCCTTCCAATACCATCTTTTCTGCCCATATGTATGTATACATTATATGGGCATATACACATGTACACAGGCACACACACAACAACATTCTTCCAGTATCTTCCACAGATAATGCAATGCACAATTCTCCAAAAACTTATGGTGACTTATAAGAGCAGAAGGTTCCCCCACCCCCACTTGAGCTGCACACAATGGAAGATAGCATACTTACTTGTCTTTCTACTTTCTAGGTCTCTAGGCCAGGAGAAGGAAGGTCAAGGGTAGCTAAAATAACAGATTCAGTAATCACTTGCACTGCTCACAGACTGATTTGGGTGTTGGCCTTCTGGGAGTGCCTAGGAGGTTACTTTCCCAAAGTGAGCAATGAAAGGCTCTGCCTGATGGATTCTGACATCTGGATATCATCTGTGTCCTTTCCAGTTGTAAAAGCCTGCGTGGCAACATGATGCTGATGATTCTATCATCTGGTCTCAGGTGAGAGGACAGGATCAGAATTTCCAGGTAGCGTGTGTTAGACATAAACTTTTGTCTTTAAGAGCCCTAAGATTTGGGTGCTAAGGGTGACCATGCTATGTAGAACCATGTGGTAAAGGCTTGTGTAAAAACCAGGAGAAGATGCTTTCCTCATTTTGGCACACCTGGTACTTGGCAATATCCATACTTTAGATTGGAAGAGACAAGTGTAAAGAAAGGAAAAATAGGATGCAGAGAAATGATAGATGGGTAGAGCAGAAAGAATGGTCCCGAGCCAAGCATTTAGTCTTCTGAAGTCTCCCACATTCTGGATTCCCATTACGTGGGGACAGGGATGTTACTCTTTGCCATCAGTGGGTATTGCTACTTGAAGTTACATGGATGGTGTGGTCGATAAACAAATAGCCCACCAATAATGTTTATATCCTAACCTCTGAAACCTAAGAATATGTGGTCTTCTTTGATAAAGGTGGCATTGCTGATGTGACTTAAGGATGTTGAGATTTAAAAAGCTACCCTGTATATCAATGTAAATGAGTACATTTAAGAGGGAGGCAAGAAGGTTAGTCAAGAGAAGAAAAGAAGATGGAATTCTGGTAACAGAGGTCAGAGTGATGGTCTTTGAGGAGAGAGAAAGGAGCTGAGAGGCAAGAATGTAAGCAGTGCCCCAGAGCTAGAAAAGCCATGGGAACAGATTGTTCCCCAGTAGCCTCCAAAGTAAACCCAGCCCTACCAACACCATGATTTTAGCCCTGGAAAATCCAGCTTGAACTTCTGACTTCTGGGACTATAAATAATTATATTTGTGCTCTGTAAGGCAATCAACCTGTTGTAACTTGAGAGTCAAAGGAAACTCCTCCAGGTAGCATCCCCTGACCTAAAGACAGCCTATGAAAGGAAGGGAGAAGCTAGCATGTTCTTGTGTATGACCACAGCAGTAACGAAGGGAAAGAGAGACAGGGAGGGAGGGAGGGAGGGAGGGAGGGAGGGAGGGAGGAAGAGGAAGAGAAAGTGAGGAGGAAGGGAGGGAGGGGAAGGAGGAAGAGAGAAAGAGAAAGGGAGGGAGGGAGGAAGGGAGGGAGAGAGAGATTGATTCCTGGTAGGTGAATTACGTTCATTATCTTCTGTCTATACCCAACTACCTTGCACTGCCTGCCATCCTGTAGGTTTGTACTGAACCACTTCCAGATTGAAGGGACACAATACCCAATTTGGGGTGGTGGCCTCTGAGCAGATGCCAGACCACCTGGGAGCCAGGCAAAATTGGCCAGGTGGGTGGTTCTGTTGAGTGGATGAAATGGTTTAGCGTTAAGCATCTGTCTGTGGCCTAAAGAAATTAGTCCAGCAACCCCTTTAAGGACCTGAAACTTGTTTCTAATGACCCACAAATCTGGAGGGACAACTTACTGGTGGGATAGTGGTTCTCTGTAAGGATGGGAGAATACCGGTAGAGGTCAAATGCTCTGGACAGCCCTTTGCCTCAAGCCTAGGAGGAGGGTGCCTGGGAGGGCGTGTGGCAGACAGGTGAAAAGGGAGGAGACATGCCAGTGAGCTGGGAGGAAACCAGTCTGGTAGAATGATAAGTAGGAGTGCCAGTAAGCCAGGAGTTCTGAGGAGGTGTGTAGAGAGAGAACAGCCTGCAGCCTTAAACACACAGATGGAGCGCACTCCCGACCTGGGGCTTGGGGACTCATCCCTGCACCGCTACCTGGATGGAGAATTCTGGACCCTCAAGAACGAGATGCGCAGAGCCCTGGGGAGCTCTCCTCTCTTCCAGCCCAGGTAATGCAGTGGAGTAGCGATTCCTGTCCCTCTGGGCTGACCGGATTTGCCCCTGGCGAGGCCGGGTGGGATGTGAGCTGCATCTTAGTGGCAGCCGGCATCATCCTCACTTCTGGTGAGGAAAGGAATCTCCTAGCAGAAGTGTGATCACAGCCCGCTGCCTTCCTCTTCCTGAGTTCCTAAAGGTGTTCTCCCCACCACTCGCTGAAGATGCTGGGCTAAAGTGTGGGCTCTACAAGGATAGGTGCTCAGGCTTATTTTGCATCTAAATCTGTTTCTGAGTTTCCCTCTGGCTTGGCAGGGCAGAACCCACAGAAAACAGAGATAGGGTGCGCGCATCTGGGATGGATGCCCCTCCGGGGAGGGGTACTGCTGTCTGGGCGGGGAGGGACGGCGGGAGGCTCGCTTAGGAAAGTTTTTCGATGAGCCAGTGCAGAGGAATGGCAAACCCGGCGGGCGCGTTGGCTTGCAGAGGGAGATTCTAGGTCTTTTACACTGGTTTTGTTGGCACTGCACGCCTGACAGGGAGATCCAGGGGTTGGATATAGAAAACAGCTGTCATGAAGGTGAGGAGGCGACCTCAGCACCGGGACCCCAAAGCCTGATTACAGACATTTACTTTGTAGTTTTAACATAGGAAAATCCTAATTTAGAATGTTAAAATAACGTTACCACTTGGGAAATGGAGGCAGGAAAACCAGGAATTCAAGGTAATTCTCAGCTACCTAGGTTCAGAACAGCTGAGGCCACAGAGACCCTGTCTAAAAAAGCAAAACAAAACAAAACACCCCCCAATCAAAACCACCAGAAAACTGACAAAACTTAGTATGTTCCAGAGAGAATTAGCTAACTCCCTCCTACCCAGTTGTGATAACCTGGCATTGGTGGTTCACGCCTTTAATCCAGGCACTCAAGAGGCAGAGGCAGGTGTATCTCTGTGAGTTTGAGGTCAGCCTGGTCTACAGAGTGAGTTTCAGGACAGCCAGGGCTACACAGAGAAACCCTGTCTTGAAATGTGTGTGTGTGTGTGTGTATGTATGAGAGAGAGAGAGAGAGAGAGAGAGAGAGAGAGAGAGAGAGAGAGGAGGAGGAGAGGGGAGGGGAGGGGAGGGGAGGGGAGGGGAGAAGAGAAGAGAAGAGAAGAGAAGAGAAGAGAAGAGAAGAGAAGAGAAGAGAAGAGAAAGGGGTGTCTGGGCAGCGAGTGCAGGTGGAAGGTGACGTCCAGATTTTTAAGTACCCTTTAAAAAGACCCTGGTTATGTCTTTGAGTGTCCCCCACATTTTTCAATCTTTTTTTTCCCTCACCAATAGTTCTTTGGGTCACTAGTAACTCTAGAGGTCATGGTCCTCCAAGTGTGGTCCAGGTATCTCTAGACTTTAGATGGTATCCAAGATTTCTTACAACAGGTTCAAGATTATTTTTATAATTTCCAAAGTGTCATTGGCTCTTTCCATGCACATATTCCCACCAATGCACAGTAACAAATTCCAGTGACGTCATGAAGTACAGTATTCCCCACCCCAGACTAATTGGGAGAGCCGATGTGAGATCCACCTGCTTTCTATTAGGATGGACATTGAAGAAATTTATGAAAATGTGGAACAGTTTTGGTTTTCTTCTTAACTTTGTTTTGTTTTGAGAAAGGGTTATTTTCATAAAACACACTTAATGGAAGTATTATGTTTAAAATGATTTAAAGATTTGAAATCTTTTCTGTAATGGCATCTGAGAGGATAAATATAACTCAACCAAAAAAAGGAAAGGAATTCAGGGGCCTCACTTTAGGGGTTCAGGGATCTCTTTAGCCTATATTCACTAATGTATCACCAAGTATTTGTGTAATGTATCACCAGTTTGTTTCTGGGTGGGTGGTTCTTGGCTTTTTCTGTTTGGGTAACTACATTTTAAAACTTGGGACAGAATTCTGAGATCCAAACCACTGATTTGGGCCAAATAGATGGTCACTTACTTACATATCACCCTATCTCTTAGGGACAGAGGTAATGGCAAGCCTGAATTGCAAAACCACTGGGCAATTGGCTTCTTGGGTTTAACACCAGGGTATTTCCTCAGCCCTATCCTTAACACCGAGTTCTGGTTAAGGTGTAGCTCAGCACTAGAGAGCATTCCTAAGGTTCAATACACACACACACACACACACACACACACACACACACACACAAACCCAAAGTAAAAACACAAAAACACACTGAAGTGGAGATAATGTCTGAGCTCCTTGGCTGTTGGGAACCATAAATGAGAAACTCTTGAGTAAGCTTTTAGGAAACATTGGTTGAGTGCCGTCCTAGTTAGGGTTCCTATTGCTGTGATGAAACACCATGACCCAAAACAAACTGGGGAGGAAAAGTTTATTTGGCTTATACTTTCATATCACTGTTCATCATTAGAGAAAACCAGGCAGGAACTCAAACCTAGAGGTAAGAGCTGATGCAGAGGCCATGGAGGGGTGCTGCTTACTGACCTGCTCCTCATGGCTTGCTCAGTCTGCTTTCTTATAGAGTCCAGGACCACCAGTCCAGGGATGGCACCACCCACAGTGGGTTGTGCCCTCCCCCAGCAATCACTAATTAAGAAAATGCCCTACAGATTTGCTGACAGCACCATTTTGTGAAGGCATTTTCTTAATTGAGAGTCCCTTCTTTTAGATGATTTTAGCTTGTGTCAAGTTGACATAAAATTACCAGCACAAGTGTATCCTTCTTCTCCTTCCCTTTCACACACACAGAAGAAAAAAAGACAAAACCCCACAATCCCAATGTTTCGCCCTCCTTTCTTGTTTATTTCATAATCTCAGAATCATAATAGCATAGATAACATTTTTACTGTTTCCCCCAAAATGATTCAAGATTGTGATACCTACATGAAAGCTCACTTTGTGCTACCAGATTTAATCTTTATGGGGCTAGAAGGAGATGGCTCTTATTTCTGGATGAATATTCATTCTGCTATTGCAAAATCTGCCTGGAAGTGGTGTTAAACCTCCTGTAGTCAATCCTTATCTCCATTCTTCCTCAGTGGGCCTTTGAAGTTCAAGTAGGCATTGGGGTGGAGCAGGGATTGTGGCAACTCAGTTCTTTGAGTGCTTTGTATAAAGCAGAAAGTTTGTGTAAAGTCAGGCACTCTCAGAATAAGACTCCAGGAAATAACTTTCTCCCCAAGGAAAAGAGTTTTGGAAGTCCTATATACTGAGGTGCTCCTCAGGGAAGGTTTTTGTCTTTAGACTGCTAGACCTCAGCAATAAAGAGCAGCATGGGCCTAGCTCACTGCCCCCTCCTGAGGAATGGTTCTGTCTCTCTCAAAGACTTGCTTCCAAGGCAATTTCCTCTAATAGCGTCCTCCAGACTCTGGGAATTCCCTAACTTCCTGAAGTCTATTCCTTCTCTGCCATGCATGCCATGATAGCACGGTCTTCTCTGAGAACAAGATTCTAGGTGGCGTAAGGATTGTATGATCTGAATGTGGCTTTGTGCTGCAAGGACTCATGGGTTAGAAGCTTAGTTCCCCAGTATGGTGATATTAAGTTAGGTAGGACCTCTAAGAGGTAGAGAGAGCCTACCAGAAGGTCTTAAGATTATCCCCTGTGCATTCTCGGGCTTCCTGTTTTTCTTTGTCTTTTGGTTATATTTTCTGACAAAAGCTACTTCAGGAAGGTTTCTTTTGGATAACAGTTTCAGGTTTCAGTCCATCCCCGTGGAGAAGCCAAGGCAACAGGAGCTGGAGAAGGCTGGTCATGTCACCTCAAGAGGTGGAGGGTGATGGATATTTGTGCTTTCTTACTTTCTCCTTTTTACACTGTTCAGGATCCCAGCCCAGGGAATGGACTACCCTGGAATAGAGAAGGAATGCTACCTGTAGTGGGTCTGCCTTTGCACTAAGTTTACCTAATCAAAATAATCCTCCAGAAGCATTCCCAGGGGCTCATCTACCACATGATTCTGGATTCAGCCAAGTTGATAACTAAAAACCATATGTAGTAGTTTAAATGATATTAGTGTCCATAAATTTGTACTATTTGCACACTTAGTCTGCAGTTGTAAAATATTTGAGTGGTATTATAAAGATAGGAAGAGTGGTCTTGTTAGAATAGGTGTGGCCTTGTTGGAGAAAGTGTGTCCCTGGGTGTGGTCTTTAAGATTGCCTAGATGCTTCCTGTTATAAACCGCCTTGGTCATGGTGTCTTTTTCACAGCAACACAACAGTAACTAAGACACCATGTGATTTTGTTTTCCCACCCTGTGCTACCACCCACCATGTGATCTTTGCCAGAGCTGGGCAAAAAACCGGCACCATGCCCTGGCACTTCGTGAACTCTCTCTCTCTCCCGTCTCTTTGTGTGTGTGTGTGTGTGTGTGTGTGTGTGTGTGTGTGTGTGCGCGCGCGCGCACGTGCACACGTGTGTCCTTGAGTGTGTGTGATATGTGTTCATGTGTGAGTCCAGGTGCTTGTGTGCCAAAGTGTGCATGTGGTGGTCAGAGGAAAACATTAGGTTTTGCTACTCTCCTTTCCTCACTGTTTAGGAGTCTCTTGTCTCTGCTTCTCACCTCCCATAGGCTGCTGGGATTATGCTACTGCCTCTGGTTTTTATGTAGGTTCCGGGAAGCTGTACTCAAGTCATTAGGTTTGCAAGCAAGTTTTTTTTACCCATTGAGCCATCTCTACAGCTCAGACCTCTTTTCTTTATAAACTATTTGGATTTAGTTGTTTCATTATAGTAGCAGAAAATGGCCTCATGCAAGGCTTCTCATTGGGGTTTGAAGGGAATGAAAAAAGCAGTGCTGGAAATGAGATATGCTCCCAAACACTTTTAATTTTGTTTCCTGGCAAACAGAGGTTCTGTCACGGCAGACTAGATGGTGAGTGGTTGCTTTCACTTAGGGGTATGTCACACTCTTCAGCCAGACAGCTTCGAAAGCCCTGTGAGTAGATGTTTCTGTTCCTCTAAGGCTTTGTCATGCTCCACAAGGTGCCTTTGGCTGTTT